AAAGATATTAATCATTACAAATTAAATGAATATTCACAAAATATAGCACTTGGGCTTTGATAGATTAATTAGTTATTAATCTATCAAAGCCCAGGTGTGCATCACATAACTTGTAGGGAGAATTATGTAATTCTGTATTCAAAGTAAATTTTATCATCTACTTAACCAATAATCAGCTCTCCGAGAGCATTCAGGTAAAACTCTTTAACTGAGTCAACTCAGTCTCATTTATGTGCACTTGTGTGTTTTCTCTCTTCAAAATAGTGGATTATAATCATCATTTCTGGAGTAGCATACTAGCCTGAACCATGTATACTCTATTGTATACTTTTAAGTTCTGATTTTACCAGATTTTTTATTTTTTTTATTTTGAAGGAACTGGTTAAAATCCATAAAAAATATAAAGTTACATACATATATGTATTACTTCTTGGAAATCTCAGTGTAGAACAATATGTATAAGTTGATCAATCTGTGACTGTTCTTTACTTTACCCTTTATCTCTTGAGTTTTGTTAAACTAATTAATCAAACACTAATCTAACTATTGATTGGACTATCATTCAATTTTCTTTCGTGAAATTTCTTGGAAGGTGACCGGCTGATGCTTGGAAATTTACTAAAACAAACACACTGTGAACCATTGGGAAGAAAAAAGCAACCAAAACTTTTACTTTAAAAACGCAACCAGTAGGAAGTTGAATTATTGCAATGGTGGAGCCAAGACAAAGTTGAAAACAGTTACTTGGACTCTCTGCTTTATGAGTACGCTGTCCATTTTCTTTATCTCTCATAATGAACACTTGACTCTTTGATGTCCATTTCCATTTTATTACTGTCGAGTGAAAAAGAAGAAACCTCTCGAACTTTTTATTTTTGATGTCGAAATTGGTAACCATATGCATTTCTAAAACTGGCCTGAAATTATTCAGACACTGAGCAGTTATCAAAATTTTCTTAAAATCTAGTTGGTGGGCTGGTGCTGTTCTTCTAATAAGACATGGAGCTTCGGAGTTATTTACAACTTCAATTGTTGTTTCTGCAGTTGTCTTTTTTAAAAGTTTTAGCTGCTGGCCTCGTTAACTACCAGTTCCTGGAGTCCTTCCTGAGGTGTAAGTGCAGAAATGCTGGGATCTTGGCTGCAAAAGAGGTCTCGACTGTTGATTTCTGTTGCATTGTGGCTCAAATATGCCAATTTTTACATTAAGAACAATACCGTCTTCTCATTTTGTAACCTTCTGTACATATTGTCTTTGGTCTTTGTATTTGTGGGTTGAATGAAAAAAACAAGTGTGTACAGAAAAGATGGGGCAGTGCTCTTGTGTCATAAAACTTCCAAAAAAATTGATTTAGGGGTTATAGAGATATTATTGTGATCTTGTTTTTTCCCCTTTAAATAATGGACTTCAGTCATCGTCCGTAGACATAGGCATATTGGCCGAACCACGTAAATCTTTTTTCTCTTTTTATTTTCTTATTTTACTTACCTTTCTTTTATATAGTTGGTTTGATCATATTATTTTCTTCACTAGCAGTATCGGCTAAATAATACCATCTTAGTAAGTGATAGAAAATTTATAAGAAAATGTGAACAATTAATAAAATACAAATCTAACATTTCAATTCAACATAGATAAGGAATCAACCAACGGTGACTCTAGGAATATCAGCTTAAAACATTTATTAGTTGATGAATTTGTTGTGCATTTACCCTTTATCTGTACCGGAGTTTTATTACCTAATCAAGTCATCAATTTTAATTAAATTATTGATTTGAATTTCATTGATTTTATCTCTTTTATGAATCTTCTAGGCTAGTAGAATGACTTGGGCTGGTGCTTGGAAATTTACTAAAACAAACAGTATGACCACTAACAAGAAACCTCTCAAACTTTCCATTTTCTAAGTCTCTTCATCTCCGAAACTCTACCCAGCTCTTTATTTATTCTCCATTATTCTCCTATTTTCTGATCACAAATTCACCCAACTGTACGAAAAATATGTATTATTTTCGTGATTAGGATAACAATATTAATTCTGAAATTTTCTGAAACGCAATTAGGATTCTTGGGTTGCTTCAGATCCTCCCCCCTTTTCTTCCTTGTCATTTTGTTATGCTTTTGACACTTATCTCTTCTTTAGACTATTATGTCTCTTAATTTCTCCTGTACTAAGATTATGATTTATCAAAGTGTTTGGAAAATTTCTGTGGGAAGTGCATGGTGGTGTCCACACGGTCTGATGAAGAGAATAGGAAAAAGAAACAAGTTGATTTAAATTTTTTGTCTTTTTATTAAACAAGTTGTTTGTAGCTTTCTGCAATACTGGTAGCCATTACAGAGACTATGCATGAGGGATGAGTTTTGATGATTCTGAGATGCTTGCCTATGACTCGCAGTTGCTTTTTTAACATTTTGGCAACTGGCTTCGTTAGCTACTAGTTCCTGGAGTTCTTCCTGAGGTGTGAGTAGAGCAATGTTTGCAGAAAAGTTGTGTGAATGTTGACTCTGTTGTATTGTAACAATATTTATAAGTTCATCTCTTGAGTTTTGTTAAACAAATTAATCAAGTCATTAATTTTAATCAAACACTAATCAAATTATTGATTGGATGAACTTTTACTTTAAAAAAACAACCACTATGAAGTTGAATTATGCCAAGACTTTAAAAACAAAGTTGCAGACAGTCGGACTCTCTGCTTTATGAGCACGCTGTCCATATTCCATTTTACTTTTTCTTTATTCATAGTGAAGTGCTGAGAGAAAAAGGAAGAAACCTCTCTAACTTTTCATTTTCTGAGTCTCTTTCTACTTCTCCCAAACTCTCCTAATTTCTCCTTTTCATTTCTTATAACAAATTCAACAACTCAAACGCCAAATTCCATCTCTTCATCTTGTAGATATTGCTTGCTCAGAAGCGACTGTTAAGAAATCCAGAAGATCCTCATATCACTAATTACAGGTAAGGAAAAACAACCACTTTTCAAATAGTTCAAGGATTCTTTTATGCTTATATCTTCAAGGATCCTTTAAAATGAACCAGATAGGTTGTTTAATCCTTTTAGGATTATATCTTCACTACTGGACATGTATGTTAATTTATTTTAATTGATATTATTAATTATTTTTTATTTTTTATTAATATAGTTTATGTTTATTATTTTTAAATAAATAAAAAATATCAATAAATGAATATTTTCATAGTAAAATTAGATAATAAAAATTACTGTTTACCAAATTTACAACGCTATATAGCTTTAGAGACAAATTATTCTCACAGATAAACATAGAAAATATATTATATAATTTATATATGATGTGAAATAAATTCATCTAAAACATATTTCGATATACTGTAATTCAAATCATCTCTTAATTACATTTCTTAGAAGCTTTGAAATTTTCGAAGCAAATTATATTTGGAATTTTGATTTATTAACTCTGTTGTTTTTATAGTAATTGTCATTGTTCTGTTAATTATTTCAATTGTAGAGAAAATGAAGAAGATAAGAAAGAGAAAGTTAAAATTCCGAGCAACTGTACTATCGACTGTCTTTTTAATTATCATCCTTCTCTTTCTTGATTGTTGCTCTTCATCTGATTATCATTCTTCTCTGTATGAGAATTTTAATTCATTCTTATCATTTCTTCCTACGTAGTCAAAACCATGCCAGTGGGAGAAGTCTTTCTTGGTGCTTTTCTTCAGGTGTTGTTTGACAGATTGGCGCCGAGTAAGCTGTCGTTCTTTCCATGCGAAGATGGGATACGTTCAGAGTTGAAGCAGTGGAAGAGAAAGTTTTTGTTAGTGTTTGTGTGCTGGAGATAACTAAGAAAAGAAAGAGAGCAAAAAACGATTGAAGAAAAGTGCCTGTGTTTTCTTGAGTTCAAAAGAGTTTACACTTCAACTAATAAAGCAGATTTTTTACACTATTACACCAAACATGCAGACATATAAAAACTTAATTTAATCTGAAGCTACTGACTTAATACCAACTAAACAACAACTCTGTAACACATCCCACATAATCTGGGATACATATCAAGCATTACAAAAAGAGTAAAACTTTGCAGTATTACAAATGGACCCCTGGCAGATTGCCTTTCAGTTTTACCGCCAAAAACATGTTTGAACATCAGTTGAACTGCTGCATTTCCAGCCAAGTATCAACCTTCAACAGATCTTCTAAACGTCTAGTTATCTCTTCTATCTTGGACTTTATATCAGCCTGGGAAATCAGAGCACTTGGAGTCCAAGAAGAGAAATAATTAGCAATTTTGTTTGTCGGTTGTTCCGTCATCAATTCCCGCTCTAGAACCTGAGTGGCATACTCATCCAGGATGTCCTCCACATCATAAGCCAAGTCTTGGAGATCTTCCAACCATATTTTCACAGCCTTGTTCTTCAGTTGCTTCTCCTCGGCATCGTTGAGCACTGCCTTGATCATTGAAAACTGTTGAAGGTTGATACTTGGCTGGAAATGCAGCAGTTCAACTGATGTTCAAACATGTTTTTGGCGGTAAAACTGAAAGGCAATCTGCCAGGGGTCCATTTGTAATACTGCTTTCAAAATGAGAAAAACATTACGAACTATACATAGGGTCTAATACACCCTACACAATGTCTCAACAACAAATCAACCATAATTCAGTCATCGAAGTCTAATTTAATAGTTTTTATATGTCTGCATGTTTGGTGTAATAGTGTAAAAAATCTGCTTTATTAGTTGAAGTGTAAACTCTTTTGAACTCAAGAAAACACAGGCACTTTTCTTCAATCGTTTTTTGCTCTCTTTCTTTTCTTAGTTATCTCCAGCACACAAACACTAACACAAACCCCAGGAAGACCAAAATCTTGAGGAGCATATGGCAAAAACGCAGATGTAATTGCCCCAACTAACATCTACATGTAACATAACACACACATTAAGCCATAAGTGAAGTTTTCACAATAAAAATAAAGACATCTATCAGAAGTTTCGAGTTTATGGAGTGGCTTACCATAGAGCAAGCAGCATATGGAAAGTCAGAAACGCCAAAATGGAGGCCATCAAAAATAAAAGCTAATGCAGTAATAGGTTGAGTGGCACTGATAAACTGTGAGAAATTTAGATGAAATCATTAAAAAATATATATAAATTGGCACCTATAAATACATACAGTGAAATCAAAGAAAAGGAAAATGAAGTTGAAAGGAATAGCTGAGTGTCGATTTCTAATACATACCAGTATTCCAGTTCTAACAATTCCTAAAACTTTAGGATCTTTGGTTAACAAAGTGGCCAACAATCCAAAAGATACCCCCAAAATTGCAGCCAAGGAAACACCTGTCACTACTCCTATCTGAAAAAGGAAATGCACATCAAGTTTTAAAATAAATATAAAATCCTGCACATCCAGCACATGAACCTAGAAATCTAGGCTAAAACCTGATAGTTTCAGCACCAGAAACCAAAATGAGAAATCATACAGAAGGCTTACCTTTAACACGAAATTGGTAACTTCTCTGACAGTCTTGAAGTCACCTTTAGATATGTAACTTGCAATCAAGACCTACATTTAGATTTTTTTTTTTTTTTTTTTCAATAAAAACAGCAACTCATGTTAAAGCATCGTGAACTGGTAAAACTTTCAACAATCAACTGTGTTCAAACAATGTTCAACTTGGACTTCATTTCAGAATTCTCATATCATCCGATCAAGGAATCTGAACAACAAGCCAGCGAAGTTAATCAGGAAACTATTCAGAATCTGTCGACCTGGAGCCTATACGTCGATGGATCATCGAACAAGAAGAGGGTCGGGGCAGGTCTTCTTCTCTTAAGTCCTGAGGGGACTCGTATTCATGGCATCCTCCGATTTGGGTTCAAAGCGACCAACAATGAGGCTGAGTATGAAGCTCTGCTTGCTGGGTTGCGGTTGGTAGCAAGTGCACTAGTCGCACAAAGTAATAAAGTGATGAGTGAGTATCGTTCCCACGAGGATTGGTTGCTAAGCACCAAGTTTTCTACTGTTTTCAAGTTGGAGCAATCGAATTCGTTTGGATCAATGGGAGAAAATTAAACTAAAACTAAACAAAATTTGCTAAGTATTCAAAACTAAATTGTGAAAGCAAGATTAAAAACAAGGGTAAGATCAATTCAAACAAACGGGCAGGGTTTCGACTTCATTCGGACTCTATGGATTAAACCTACGGATTATGCTATTTCCATATTCGCATGCATTGATTGTAAATCGAATTCTCTAAGTTGTGAAACATACCTTCTCAGGCTATGTTTTCCTACTTTTCCCTATTAAACTTCCGTACCCAACAATTTGAAGATTAATAGTTCTAAGCTCATTAAGCACATGGAATCCTAGATTGATTTCATTGATTCTCAAATCTATCTCTAGCATTCAATACTACAATGGTGATTACCCAAAAAGCTTAACATGACTCATTTCTCAATCTCATCATGTTCATCAATTAAAAGCAATAAAATCAGAATAACCACACAATCCATGCAATAGCATATGAAAATAACAAAAATCAATTACTCAATCCATGGAAATCCGAATTACATCAAAACCCAAACCCAAAATGGGTTAGTTCATAGCTAAATCGACACAACAAGCAAGAAAATCGAATAACCCATCAATCAACATATTGAAATGAGAGAAAAGACAAGAGATCTCCCATAGTTGAAGAATCCACAAGATTCAACCCCAAATCTTCTCTCTTTTTAACCCAAAATTCATCAAATCTAAACTAAGGAAAATGAAAATAAGCTGCTCTCTACTAAAAACGATGAACCTCTCAAAATGGCAAAGTTTTGCTTTTATAGTTCGCCCAAAAACCTAAGACTTTACCTAAAATGAAACTGTGCGTTTTAGAGAAAACTGGAATTCGCAGACTTCGCCGTAGCGACGAAGTAAAAATTGACTCTCGTGCGGAACTCCTTTCACCACGGCGAACCTTCATGAAGAATTCTGAAATTACAGAATTTCCCTCCGCTTGCTTCTTTGCTTGAATCTTCGATCTTCGATGCTCTACCATGGGAACAAGCTTCATAGTGCTTCACTTTGCTTCAGAACTCTCCCAACTTCTGAGATCCGCTTACTTCTGAGTCCAGAAACTCCAATTCGCTCATTATTTGCTCAAAATTTCCATTTTGGCCTGAAACACAAAATGTAAAGAATTAAGTAGCCATTCAGGCATAAATGAACTAAGAAGTATCTAAAATCCAGCCTAAAAGCCTAAATAAAACAGTATAATCCTCAAATTATCAGTTAGCCAAAGAAATGGGATCAACCGCGATCAGCATCCGTAGCGACTCCATGCTGGTTGTCAACCAGATTTTGGGAGAATATCAAACTAAGGAAGAAAATATGATCAGCTATCTAAATAAAGCTATGGCCCCACTTGAGTCATTCAAGAACTTCATGATCACATAGATTCCTAGAGATAGCAATTCTATGGCAGATGCCTTGGCAAAGATAGCCTCGTCGTTGGACTCAAATGCACCGGAAAGTATTCCTGTTTGATTCATAGAGGCCCCCAGTGTCAGCTCGACCGAACAGGCCGTGAATATGGCAGAATTAGTTTCTTGGATAACTCCTATCATTCAGTATCTTCGAGACGGGACCTTGCCCAACGACAAGGTCAAAGCAAGGACCCTACGAACAAAAGCTGCTCATTACACTCTAATAGGAGACCAGCTATACAAGCAAGGGTTTAGCGCCCCTCTCCTCTAATATGTAACCGATAAAGAAGCAAACTATATCACGAGGGAGATACATGAAGGAATCTGTGGCAATCACACAGTCGATCTCTCGCTAACAAAGTTGTTCGTCAAGAGTATTACTAGCCCCTAACTCAAGAAGATGCCAACAACTTTGTCAAGAAGTGTGACAAGTGCCAGCGGTTTGCGAACATACCGCGAGCTTCTTCCCACCAGCTGATAACCATGACCAGCCCCTGGCCATTCTCCATGTGGAGAATCGATCTCATTGGTCCCATGCCAGTTGGTAAAGGAGAAGTCAAGTATGCGGTGGTCGCGGTAGATTACTTCACCAAGTGGGTCGAAGCAGAGCTATTAGCTGCGATCACCACCAAAAAGCTCAAGGACTTCGTCTTCAAGAACATTGTGTGCCGCTATGGGATTCCTCGTACCCTCATATCTGACAATGGGAAACAGTTCGATAACGAGGAGTTCAAGCAGTTTTGCGACGAGCTGGGTATCCATAAAAAATTTGCCTCAGTCGCAAGACCGCAAGCAAATGGTCAAGTTGAAGCTGTCAACAAAACTATCAAGCACACTCTAAAGGCTAAACTTGGCACAGCCAAGGGGAATTGGGCCGACGACCTTCCTGAAGTCTTATGGGCATACAGGACAACTCCGAGAACCTTTACCTCAGAAACCCCCTTTTTGCTAGCATACGGTTGCGAAGCAATGATCCCTATGGAGATAGGGACCGGTTCACTTCGGAGGGACCGGTTCAACGAAGCAGACAATGAAGCATTTATGCGCACAAGTCTGGATCTAGTTGAAGAACATCGCAGCAAGGCTCAGCTAAGAATAACAGCCTATCAACAACGCGCGAAAAGGTTCTTCAACTCTAAGGTTAGGAGAAGAAACTTCTAGGTCGGCAACCTTGTTTTGAAGGAAGTCCTTCTCGGTACTAGAGAACCAAGTACGAAAGTTTTGGGACCGAACTGGGAGGACCCATACCGCATTGCCAAAGTGATAAGAACGAGTACTTATCATCTCAAAAGGCTAAATGGTTTTGAGGTACCACGAGCTTGGAATGCTGAACATTTTCGACCATATTATTAGTAATTCCGAACTCAATTTTCCTTTGTAAAGATTTTATTTTTCGTAATCTTTGTAAATAACAAGTGTATAATTATGTTCTTTTGTAATCATTTTTCCATGTGTATAATTCTGTTCGCATAGACTTGTACCAATGTTATTATAAACAGTTAGAATGCGATCTCATGTATAACATAGGGTACAGAAATTGTAAGTGCCCATAAAAGATTAAGAAAGCAATGTATTTATTTATTAATGGAAGGGAAAGTACATAAGCAAAAAGGGAAAAGGCTACAAGAGGAGATCACTAATCCTCATCCCCAGGCCCCAAAGGGGCAACCTCGACATCTCCAGGCTGGTCGCCGACCGCCTGTTAGGGTGCAGGCTCTTCCGAGACGTATTTCGAATGCTCCTCTTCCAGGTTAGGTCCCCAAGCCACTTCCTCGTCCTCGGCCCGCGCCATGGAAGCAAGTTCATCCTGGTACTCGTCGAGGAGGTCAGACAGATCCATGATAGGGTTCTTTGGCCGAAGGGCGAAGATGGACTGAATCGTCCATTCTGTAGCCCTCTTCTCAATCTCCGCCTCCTACTGTTAAGTCTCTGCAGTTAACGAAGTGATACGATCTCGAGAGAGGTGGAGCTCGGCCTCAAGCGCCCCTCGCTGCTTCTCGGTAGTCTCCTAGAGCTCACCCCTTTCTCGCTCTACTCGTAAGGCCCGCTCAGAGGTCGCTTGCAACACCTGGTCTTTCTCGCTAGCCTCCCTGGTGAGTCTAGCCACCGTCCTCGGCCTTCTGAAAGTCCACCGTTCAAAGTGCAACATCCCTTTCGGAGAAATACTGATTCACCTGAATGATGGACGAGTCTTTGTCTACTCGTGCGGCCTCTAGTTCCCGCTTGAGCCACACATTCTCTTCCCACAGCTCGACCAGTCCCTCAGTAGCCCCTAGTTGAACCTTTTGTAGGGACAGATGCATGGAGAGCAGGGCCTGCATAGCGAAAAGAATAAAGAGTTAGTCCTTCCTACTAAAAACCAAATATAAGTCCTCGCCAAGGACAGCTCGTTTACCTAGCTTAGGTGCTGGAAGGATGTGGACAACAGGTCTACGGGGTTGGAGGCCACGAACTACTCGAATGCCTCTACGAGCTCGAATTCCAGCAAAGTAAAGACTACCGGCAGCAGATGATCCGGTAGCTGAGCCATTGACTCCAGCACGAGTGTGTCTGTGCCCACAGCAGGTAGAGTTCCCTCCGCAAGCTCTTTGCCCGGCCTCCTCCTGGGGATTGCAGCTCCCCTTTGCCTTGTCTGCGGGCCCTTGAGGGCAATGGAGATGCCAGTCGCTTCCTTAGGTGGCCCTCTCAAGCAGAATGGTTGGAAAGGCTGCAACCTCTCGGACTGAACGCCCAAACCTTCCATTTCAGACTCTGACTCCTCGGTCTGAAGTTGCATCATTTTCTTGGGCCGTTGGGCCATCATTTTCTGCTTTGGGCGAGCAGCCAGAGGCTAGGGAAAGCCCGCAAGTCAGATCAGAGCATTCACCGGTGTCCCTCCGAAGGGAGGACCGTTGGGAGTCGCTCCAGTTGGTCCGGTGGCCCCAAATCGGGGGAAGGAAAATTGTCTTGGTCACGACGATCTGGGCACCTTTGGAGGCATGGTTGCTGCATGTGAACATCGTTACCAAAACAGTTCGTTGCATGCAGAATCTAAAAATAAGCTAAGGTTACGAAGCTTAATTAATGTGGTATTTAGGGTCGCTTTGGAGTTGAAGAAACCATACTTCAGCAAATT